GAATGCTTGGCCTATAAAGAGTGGCAATATTAGGAGCTGTGACCTTGTTGGAGTAGGTGTGACCTAGGTGAAGGAAGTGTGTCACTGTGGAGGTTGCCATTGAGGTCTTACATGTTCAAGTTAAGCCCAGAGTTGGACACACAGTTCACTTCCTGTTGCCTGCAGGTCAAGATGTAAATCTCTCAGCTCCTTCCACAGCACCGCACCATGTCTCCTTGCATTTCACGTTACATGATGATATTAGACTAAACCTCTAATCTGTAAGCCAGCCCCAATTAAATGTTTTTCTTTGTAAGAGTTGCTGTAGTCATGGCATATCTTTACAACAATAGAAACCCTAACTGAGACACCCCTCTTCCATTATGCTCCCTTGAACATCAGAAATGACATGTGTCATGGGGTGATGTGGAGTGGAGACAGCCTGAGCCTCTGGGACAAACTGTGTTTGCTGTAAATGGCACAGCCTATGAGACAAAGTGTGTTTGCTGTATAGAGCAGAGCTGTCAAATGGGCCTGCATGAACTTTCTGGAGCTAGACAACTACACAGTAAGTTAGTCCCAGATGCTGAAAATGAGCTGCATGATTTGCATTTACACTGCTAGATCTTTCATTTATTTTGCTATTCTTCACTTTTTCCATTTTGGAATAAGACATATTTTTTTGTTATTTTGCAAGACAGTGATAAGAGACTTTTGACTTTTAAAGAGTCATTGCATATTTAATTGCTTAAAAATGTCAAGAGTATGGGACTTTGAAATTTTGACTGTATCAAATAGGATTCTCTGAGAAGACCCAACTGAATATTTTATCAGTTTATCTTATGGAGATATTTCTGAGAGACTATATTAATTGTTAATTGATGTAGGTGACTCAGATTACTTAGGGTATTGCCATTCCCTTGGCTAATGGTCTGGAGCTCTATAAGAAAGGTATCTAAATAATTGCCTCTGAGAGGCCAAGTGGGGAAGCCAGAAGCTGTGTCCCCCATAATATTTTAGTTCTTGCTTAGTTCCTGCCATGAATTCTGTCAGTGATAGACCTGAAAATTTACATGTATATATATGTATATGTATATGATGTACACACACACATTTCTGTCACATTTTGTTTTGTGTCTTTCATCTTGTGAGCTTTCTCCCTCTTCCATCCCCACTCCTTTACATTCTATATAGATTCATAGATCTATTAAATCATGTATCATATGCTCAAACCACAAGCCACAACAATATGTCTTCTCTTCATGTGACATACTAATTGAAACAGAGTGACTTTAGTACTCAGAAAAAGAGCAAGACACCATAAATTCATATTGTTTCCAGATGCTGACTATGAAATATAGATGTATCAGATTAAAATTAAATAATTAACAAAGGCCCATCTATCTCTAATGAAAACAAAGTGTCATATGTTTATTGGGGCATTCGTTATAGGATTCAGTACATGGGAGACCCAGGCATGCAAGAACAGATAAATGGATCAAGAAATTGTGACATACTCACAGCATGTCATTCCTCAACTGTCAAAAGTGAGGAGTTCTTATCTTTGGCTACAATATGAATGGAGTTATGGCCAATAGTTAGGAACTAATCTTTGTATAGTCTCTCAAAATAGAACCATTAGCTGGAAATAAACATTTAAAACAGAAACTTGATATTCAGACCTTAACATTGTGACCTATATCCCAAAGTGTCATGCACATTTCACAATGTAAAATTCATGTAATTTCATCTTCAAGAGTCACAAAATACTTATATTTCCAACACTATTTCAGAAGCCCAAGTTCAATAGGAGGGCAGGATAGAGATGGAATTTGGGGAAGGTTAAGTATGACACCATAGGCTTTATGAAAAGCTGTATGGAAGCCCATTACTTCCTCAAATAGATATTAATGGAGTTTTAATTTAAATTGAGTTACCATTTAACTCAACTGGAAGTAAGATCAATATAAGGAGAAAACTGTTACATAACCTCATTTACATATGGAATATATTTCAAAGTGCTAGTATATACAGGCAGACTGCATAATATTATGGTGGTTACTAAACCTTTGTGGTAATAGAAAATGGGAAAACATGTAAAAAATATGACATAACAAATATACAAGATGAAATAAAAAATAATTAACAACACAATATCGCTATGTAGTAATAATACATTGCATTCAGGAGTTTTTCCTAAAGCAGTTTTTGGTATATAAAGGAAAAGGAAACTTTAATTAGAAGAATATTTAAATGTGTATGTAAATATTTCTATATGTTAGTGCATTAAATTTTAGCAACTATTTTATCACACAACATGGCAATATAGTCTTTTAGTTTCCACTCTTGGTTTTACATTGAATTGCAAAACAAACAGTACTGACCTCCAAGGCAGAGTTATGACTGGAGGAACAGAGGGAACTCACAGATGCAAGGAAATATTTTGTGTCTTGATTGGGTTTTGAGTTAAGTAGTTATATTTATCCAAGCAAATTTATTGAACTATGCATTTGTTTAATCTGTGCATATCACTTTTTCTTAATTACACTTAAATTATCAAATCAGTAACATTTAAGAATGAAATATTATTTTATAGAATATGTTACCTTACTTGAAGTAACATTTTCTAGGTTCAGCCTTTTATGAAAATAAAAGGCTACATAGTGTTCCATTGTGTATATGTAGCACATTTTCATTATCCATTCATCCAGTGAAAGTCATTTGTGTTGTTTCAATTTCCTGGCTTCTGTGAAGAAGGCATCAATGAACACTGGTGACTAGGATGTTCAGTTCTTCAATCATATGCCTGTAAGTAGTATAACTGGGTCATATGGTAGATACATTTTTAGTCTTTTGAAAATTCTCCATCCTGTTTTCCAAATTTGCTATACCAGTTCATATTTCTACAAGAATGAATGAGGAAGAGGTCTGCTTTCTCCACAACCTAGATAACATTTTTTTGTCTTACTTTTTTGTTGTTGTTGTTGCTGTTGATTTGAAATGCGCTGCCTGGGGTGATGTGAAATGTCAAAGTTGTTTTAGTTTGCATTATTTTCATTGCTTAGGATGATAAAGACATTTCAAGATTTCATCAGCAATTTTTATTTATTCTCTTGAGAACTCGGTGTTTAGGTCCCAGTCCATTTTTCAGATGGTAATTTGGTTTTTGCACTCTTCATTTTTGAGATTCTTTGTATATTCTGAATATTAATCCTCCATCTGTTGTATAACTGGCAAAGATTCTCTCCCATCCTGTGGGTTTCTTTTTTACATGGCTGATTGCTTCTTTGGTTGTTTAGAAGTATTTTAGTTTTATGAAGACTCACTTATCACTTGTTCATCTCAATTCTTTAGCAAATGGAGTCCTGTACATAAAGACAAATACCACAGTCTTTTTTTTATCAGTAGTTCCTAGTTTCAAATTCTCAGATGTGCATATACGACACAGAATAACCACAAACCAGAAAAGTATAAAGAGACCATATGTTGAGGGGCTTGAGAGGGAATAGTAGGATAGAGATGATATGAAGTGGGCAGTGGAAAAATGGGTAGGGGATCTAACTACAGTAGAGGCTGGAAGGTCAATACAGAAGGAAGAGGAGGGACAAGGGACAAAAAATAGGAAGGTTGTTTGTTAAGGCCTTAAGGAATTGTATTATTTTATATTTCCTTGAAATTATACACATATATGAATATATATGTGTATGTATATGTATATATTCATATACATAAATATGTGTACACACATGAATACATACAAACTATATATATATATTCTTATACATATTCTTATATATATTTATATTCTTAGACACATCTTAAAGAAAGTTAAGCTGTTTGGGCTGACAATAATTCCCACAGAACCCGTTCCAGGCATGAGAAACCTCTTTTTGAATGATTGATCAGGGTACTCCCTGTGATTCCCCCCTAAATATAGATTGTATATGTAACCATTGCTCAATTCTTAGTGGTTGAGGATAGGCCACTATTGCTGAAGACACCTCACATTTAGGACAAAGGACTCAGATGATTTGAGCTTCAGCTGACCTCTCTCCTATGGTATGGCTTCTATGGTTCCAGAAAATACTATACAAACTGCCAAGGGAAGGCAACAATTAAACAGTCACACCAAGCATCAATACTCATGACTCATTTTAAAAAAGAAACTCATAATTCAAGTTATGGATGCTCTGTACTCCTGGGAATAATGTAAATATGACAGAAATTCAATTCAAGAGGAAATAACTTCAATGACACTGGAAATTTTTTCATGAGGGGTTAGACAGTCACACAGAGAGAGAGAGTCTGGGTAAAGACAAGGGAAGAAGAGAGAAGATATGACCATGGAATGCTAACCAAGGCACTGGGAAAGGGAGAAACTGGGGACAGTCTTTCTCTACCTTCAAGTGTGCTTGGATGTTGATATATAAAATCTGACATTATTATTTCAGTGCTGAAGATGGCAGATACTTGAAATTCAAGACTCAAATGGGTGAATGGAGATTTAGAATATGATGTCTTAAAGATGCATATTAATTTACTAAGCAGTTTATATAAGGAACACTTTAAAATCATACATATATTCTAAAATGTGAGGCTATTGAAGGAAACAAACTGTAGGAATTTCAATTAACTACTCTTAACATTTAGAAAACTTGAAAAAAAGGGACATTTCTATTAAATACAGTATTCATTTAATCTTTATCATTTTCAGTGACCAAAGAAATCCTGACCTTCCCTGCACTGCCTTGGGACTTCTTTGTAGGGAGGGGTTTGTCTATAGTGGAAGCTGTCATGGCCTCAAGTGATTTGATTCCAAGGGTTACATCATATAGGGATACAGTGAGGTCCACATAAGGCAGCTTTAGGGAGCTGCAGTCAGTTTCTATTTAACAAGCCCCATTTAACCCAGTTTATACAAAATGACTATTTCTTAACCAATTGAACAAGGTTGTGAAAATGGCCCACACAGATAAAGGCCAAGTTGATATTTAAACAACTGTGTATGATCAAGGACACACTCAGCTACTGCACGAGACTGTTTCCTGATCTCCAGGATTTCCTGAAGAAGCCCTCTTTTTACCTTCTTCCTCAGGAGTGTCCTGCATGGCTCTCTCCAGAAGCATCTTCAGAGTCTGCCTCTGAAACCTGTGATGTCTAATAGAACCAACAAGGAAGTAAATGATGGGGTTGGCACAGCTGTTAACACAGGACAGGAAAGCTGTCATTTCATAAACATTGCAAGGGAAAATGATTTTCAAATCCACAGTCCATTCTAAGATGAACCAATTGATACCAAAGGGCAGACCAAAGAGTAAGAAGACCAGCACTGTGAGTGCAATGGTCACATACAACCTGGTCACAGGAATCCTCTGTGAGCCACAGAAGATCCTGACCAATAGAGCCAGGTTGCATCCACAAGGAACCACAGATAATACTGTCATAAATGCAGCAGTGATAAAATTATAAGTCCTACAGGAAGAATGGTCATAATACCTAAATAGTAAGCCACAACCATCCCCTGAAAGGAGGCTTAACAGTAGAGAGAAGGCCCAGAGCAGTGCACACAGGACAGATGATGTGTGCCTTGGATGTTGGCAGTGATACCAGATGGGCCACAAAATGGACAGACAACGCTCAACACTAATGGCTGCAATTATACACATACCTGCAAGGTAAGCAAAGATTAATACATTGATGAGAGAGATGGGAATATCCAAGTAGATGTTATGGAACCAAGCAAGTATATACTCTAGGGAGTACATAGTCTGAAAGCAGAGAAAGAGGAAGTCAGCCCCAGCCAGGTTGAGCACATAGACAGAGAAGGCATTCCTGTGCATGTGGAAGCCCAGAAGCCACAGCACTATGGCATTTCCTGCCAGCCCAACCACGGCAATGATAACAGTAAGAATATTGAAGATTTTGTCCACGGTGTCACAGAGTAAGTTTTCAGTGTAGTAACTTCCATTCATTGTTGTGTTGTCAGTGCTCCAGGATGGGGTGGATGGACCCATGCTTGAGAATGTTTCACTGGTGTTCCTGCAAAGTAAATCGAGGTATGAACACATGAAACTTTCTGTCAAGACCACCTGGCTATGTGGGAATGTCTGACACAGATTCATAAGGAGGAGGAAACAGGCTTGCAGAGATTAAGTAATTTATCTAACTCCTAAAGTGCTAGAAGCTTCTTTTGAAGTTTGTGCTATTCAGTCTGTCTGCAGACCAATGCCTCTAGTGATGTTGGGGTAGTCAATGGTCCCAGTCCAGTTGCTAAGCATCTTATGCTGTGTCAGGAAGAGACAGAATTCTGAAACTAACTTTCTTTCTGTTCCAGGCCTGAGGTTCCTTCTCTGGTGTAGGAATATGGAAGATGCTGGCACAAGCCATAGCTGCCCTCAGACAGTGTAAGGTGTCTACGAAAAGGGGAAAAAGGGATAATGAATGTGACTTCTTATGAAGACCTGTGTTCGAACAGTCACACTTCTTATGCTAGAAGGGCTGAATCTTCATTTTAAAAATGGAAAAACTAGAAGGCAGAGAAGCCTTGAGGGACATCAAGCACTTTCCTGTGTGTGATTATGTAACCAGTGTCCTGTTCTCTACAGGGTTACAGAGGAGAGTTAAGAACTATAACAAATGAGCCAAGGAACCATTAGTTCAAGGGTAGTTGAAAATCTGGAGTAAATATTGTTCTGGTTGTGACTTGTACCTACATGCAAAGGAACAGGTGTCTGGCATGAAAAGTGTGGCCTGTGCTGCAGAGGAAACTAGATAGCACCTCCATTTGGAAATAGTGTCCCAACCCTTGAGAAGAGCTTTGAGATCTATACATGGATGCAAACAGTCTGGAAAAGAAAGCAGGGTAGCTGTGCAGGTAGCATCATTCAGAGCTTTCTTTCCACTCCACTCCCCCACACAGGACATACTTAATAGGCTCATATTTCTTACCCCTAAAGCCACAGAGACATTTGAAGAGAAGACAGCCTTTCTTTTCTTAACTTTTGTATTCATTTTTCATACCAACCACAGATCCACCTTTAATTCCTCCTCCTGCTCACCCCCACACCCACCAACCCCCCTTGGCCATATCACCCCTCATCACCTACTCCAAAATTGTAAGTTCTCTGATGGGGGGGCAGTAAAGCCTGGTATATTCAGCTGAGGCAGGACCCAGCCACTCCACCTGCTTCAAGGGTGAGCAAGATGTCAGACCATAGGCGATGGAATCCAGAAAACCAGCTTATGCACCAGGGACAGATCCTGATCATGAGCCCCTCAAACAGAACTAGCTACACACTTTCTCCTGTATGCAGAAAGTCTAGACTGATTCCATGCAGTATCCACAGCTAGGGAAGCTTTTAATTTCCTCACTGGCCAAGGGTTCAGAATGAGGGCTGTTCCTGTGCTTGCAGTAGCTTAGCATGAACAGTACCCACATAGAAAGCTTCGCATCACAGGATCCTTCTGGATAACTTATTGTAGACAGAGGCCTTCATAAAGGAAAAATCATCTGAGAATGTTGAGGCAGACGTCCAGGCTCATAGAAAGCCCCCAGAAGACCTTACAAACTAACCTCACACAAGGGCTTTGATGAAAATCACCCAATAAACTCAGTTGTGTTCACCAAGATCATGCTATTCATTCTTGAAGCCTTGATCATCCCATAGAAGCATAAGTTTTTAATCCAGGAAACCATCTTAGGGCATTAACAACTTAAAATAGAGTGGTACTAGGTAAGCAGCTGACCCAAAAATATTGGGTGAATTAGGGTGTACAATATGAAATTCCTGAAGACACAATTAGGAAATTATCTTAAATAAAAAAGAAGTGGACAAAAAAGAAATAATAAAATAAATTACGATGACATAAAGATTGAACAGTGAGTGGATCATTAAAAATGACATGAGTTTTGGAGACATGGCTCAGTGGTTAAGAGCATTGTCTGTTCTTCCAGAAGTTCCCAGTTCAATTCCCAGCAACCACATGGTGGCTAACAACCACCTATAACGAGATCCAGTGCCCTCTTCTGGCATGCAGGCATACATGCAGGCAGAATACTGCCTACATAATAAGTAAATAATTTTTAAAAAATGAGATGAAAGTAGAAAAGAGACTGGTTGGCAGGAAGAAGAAGGTCAACAGGATTGTTCAGGGCTGAGAGAGGGTAACAGTGGGCAAATATGATCACAATTAATTGTTACATGTATGAAATTGAAAAAAATGTCAATAACATAGATAAATAGTATTCACAGCGACTTAGTCAATGCTATTCCAAGATACAACAGTGGTTAAACATGGCTAAAGAAATAAATTAATGTAATAAAGAACATAAATATGAAGCAAAATTGATCATTTTAAAATACATAGCAAATGAAGTGACAAAATTGAATGCCACCCAGGGGGACAATCTGTGAAGAAACTTGAAAAGAAATAGGGGAGCCTAACATGGTAAAAGCAATATAGCACAAAGACATAGCCAACAGCTCTGAATTGTGCAAACATAATATTGTTTAACAAATATGAAACAAGTGTGACCTCCTGACCTGTTATATTCAGCATTGTCCTTGACATCTTTATAAAAGCAATAAATCAAGAGAAAGAAAAGCATCCAATTTAAATTTTAAAGGGTAAAAATTCACTTTATCCTCTATTTAAAAATCATATAGCCTAGAAATGTTTCAGTGTATCAGAAAGTGAAGATGAAATGTATTTATATTCTCATCTCAGATTGTGTGAGACCTTGACATTGTTTATTCATGAATGAATGCACACATGCAAATCTTTACAGCATTAGATGATCAATCATGTATAAATTAGAAAGTCAAATGAAACAAAAGTCATTGACCAGCACTGACAAACTGATAAAGAAATTCTCAACATTTCTAATTCTCTTTGTCAACAGCCCTGAGTATATTCACAGTTATTCATGCATGGATAAATCATTGACACTGATCATGGGCAGGAAAGACCCAACACAGCTTAGTTGAGCGGCAGGACACACTTATGTGCACAGTCCGGTGATGGATGTGGTTCTGACATAATTGTTTAGCAGAGAAAGGAGGAGGAAAGAAGGCGAGGTGAGGTCTAATTGCTGCTCCATAGAGAAACCCCCAAAATAGGCATGTCTAATAGAGGACTACTAAGTGGAGTGTATTAAATGAGAAAGAAAAACCTAACATAACAGGAGCCTTCTCCATGGTCTCTTCTAGAAGATGGTAGAAGATGATGAGTTTTCTCTGATGACAAAAGCTTTCTGTGCAGACTGAAGAGAAGCTGAGAAGGTGCAGCAACTGAAATACAAATAGTGATGGATAGGCAGATGCAACTAGACTCTAGTTACTAGAGGAACAGGATGAGCTCATATGTGGACTAAATGAATTCATCCTTTAAAAGCTTACCTATATTGTCACCTTGAATGATGCCTAGAGCATGTGATGTAAGAATGACTGTTTTTACCAGTTTTCTGAGGATGGAATTGTAGCATAGAAGGATGAATAATTATATATGTCTCTGTCAGTATTAATTCCAATCCAGAAAAACTGCCTCACTAAAAGTACAGTGTGTGTGTGTGTGTGTGTGTGTGTGTGTGTGTGTGTGTGTGTGTGTGTATGTGTACCTTTCGTTTGTAGTAGTTACAGGCAGATGTCAAGTTTTTCTTCAGCAGATCACTACCTCACTTTTTGAGACAGGGTTTTTCACTGAACATGGAGCTCAGAGACTCAACAGCAGACTAGTAAACTTCATGAATTCTCTGGTCCCTGCATTCCCAGCACTGGAGTTACTGGCATGCCCTGCCAGGCCTGGATTACTCTGGAGGTGGGAATTCATGTTATCATGCTTATACAAAAGTTACTTTATAAACTAATCCACCTTCCCAGGAAGTGATTACCCCCTTGACAAACTTGTATATACCACAACGCTCTGTGCCTATTAGAAGTAAATAATGAAAAAGCACAGGAGCATTTCTCATACTATAAGCAGGATAGCAGTCATAGTTGTGGATGAATAAAATCCATAGCTTAAAAAACTTGAGAAACATTGGGAGAGAAGTCATATTTTGCTGAGAATGGAGGTGGTGGACATCAGCTACAGTCAGCATGAAAGAGGTGATGGTAGTGTTTACCTATAACCCCTGGACATGCTTTCCTTAAACAACATTTGTTGTGATGTTGTCCCTTGGTGGAAGCATGGTTAAATGTACAAAAAGGGGTTTCCTGAAATCACATTAATATCATATCCTCAAGTTTTTCTCTCTGCATCTCTTCTGTTGTTTTACTCTCTCTTCTCTGTTCTACTTTCCTTTGTTTTTGAGAAGATACCAAAAATCTCTCTATGATCCCATGCTTGAGAGACCTTCAAGACCTTTATAGCTTGCCAGAGAGGCCAAGTCCATTAATTTTTCTCTTAATGTATTAGCTGAGTTTTAATTAAAATGGATCCTCATTTGCATTCTATCTGGGTCAGATAACAAAAACATTACCAGAAAATAGAGATTCAGTCACGAGTGGAGAAGTGCAACAAGGCTGTGTTAGGATTTTATAGGAACAAACCCCTTGCTCCTCTATGGGTCTTTTCTGCACTGACCTGTTGTTGTAGCTGAGAGTCCTTGACCACAGCATGCCATTGCCCCTTTAGGTCTGAAGAATAGCAATGCTGTATTTCCTGTGCCTGGCTAGGTGCAGCTGCAAACTCATGCATAATGACTTTCTTGGAAAGGTATTTTCTACAATTCTGTATTTGAGTTGCCACTCTCATGCAAGTAAGAAGTATATTTCCCGGAGTATATTTCAGTCTAGTTATTTTTATCAAAATGTGTGATTCCCCCATAAAAGCAGCACAGAAGAATAAAATGCAAACAAGATGAAAATAACTCTTTGGACGTCATGAGAGAAATGATCTGATGACAGTTAAATCTAGAAACCTCATGGTGGAAGATTTGCAAGTGAGGAAGTTTTTCCTTCCATCTTTCTCTTTGCTCTCTGACATCTCACAGAAGGGCCTTATCTCACCCATAAGATCTGTCCTTTTCTCTAAGTTTCTTTTTATTTGAGGCAGTTGGTGACATTTCAAGGCCA